ACCTTTGCAAACCTTTAAAACTCTAACTCCACCAATGAACTCGTAGATTTTTAAATCAGGAGCAACTAATGAGATGAGGTTTTTCTTCAAATCTGAAATGCATCGAACGTGATCAAGTGTTCTAAATGTCCCAACCAATAATTTAATTCTGACTCTAGCAATACTAGTTACCAGATAAGGTGTGTACTTTCGCATGACCATAACACCTTTCAAAGCCATTTCATAAGTTGGAAACAAATCCTGATTAGGACACATATGAAAAACACAAGTTGAATCCAGAATTCAATCCTTGTCGATTTAGATTCCCCATTGGAAATAGCTAAAAGATCCCCATCACTCAACTAGTCCTCAGCAATATCAGCTCCGCCTGAAGTATCTAATTGCCTTCCCTTCTGATTTGCAACCATCTTATCTTTATTCTGCAACTTGTGGCAATCCTTCTTGATGTGTACTTTCTTTTTGTAATAAAAACAAACTTGACTACTCCCCTTTCATAACCACCATGAACAACAAGACATTTTCCATCTCTAGCCTCAGATCCAACTAGACTTCATCTTCACCTTTGAAAACAAATCATCATACACATTTTCAACAGTAAGAGTACCACGATTGTACAAAGTAATGTCCTTAAATGATGTAAACTAAGCGGGGAATTGAAATAAAAGAATTAAGGCTAAATCTTCTTTATCATACTTTACCTCTAAAGTCTCCAAATCAACGATGATTGCTTTAAAATAGCTAGGTGATCTTCCAAAGATCCGCCTTCTATCATGCGATGAGAATACAAAAGCTACTTCACGTGCATTTACTGGTTAGACTCTTAGTCATGCACAATTGCTCCAACTTCAATTATAATGTAGCTGTAGTTTTCTCCTTCAAAATGTCCTGAAGAATATTATTTTAGAGATGAAGATGAATTTGTGAAAGGGTCTTTTGATCTTATGTTTTTTCTCCTATGTCGTCTAAGTTGTGGGCATCTTGTCAAATTTCAACAACGTATCATCCAAGTCCATTTGAGTGAGTACTACTCATATCTTCACCTACCACAACAAGAATCTTATGCTGCTATTCAAAAACATAATGTAATACTTTATTATTGCCATCAAGAACAAAGAAACCTCGAATAAATCAAACCGAAGTTCTGATACCACTTGTTACAAAACGAACAAGGATTATGTATGCTCTGATACTACTTGTTGGGTCAAAACAAGGTTTATAGCACGATGTGATGTATTGATTGGAACAACAAGAACACAAGAAATAAGAATTTGATTAGGTAGGGGAATTTGAGATTTAATTCAGGGGAAATTAAAACGATATTGTGTATCTCACAATAATAATAATATCAGTAGTAATAAGGTACAACTTTGTTCTAGCAATAAAGAGAAACCAACTATATATAGGGTTACATGTCAAACCATAATAAAAGTCCTAAAGATGGGAAGTTGATAAAAAAAAAGAGTGAAATAAACAAAATAGAAGCTCGAGCGTTGAAAATTTTGTCTCGCCGAACAAGAGTCCACTAGCGAAGACTAGTGCAGTCAATCCCCTTTCCTTCATCGACCCTGTTTATACGTTTTCATGACCAATGCACCAAACCACGCAAAACCCTAGATAAATTTGGGTTATAAACCTGACAGTGGTCATAAAAAGGGTACATATATGCTATCGTATTACTTTAGAATATGGTAAACAGACATCTATTGACAATCCAAATTGGCCTGAAATCATGCAAGAATTGTCTAAGTTATGAGTTCAACCCTAAACGCAGCTAGAGGAGGTGAATAATGTGGAATTAAAATTACTAGTTAAAAGTAACACATGATTTGTTGATATAAAAAATCTTTTAAACGATTAAAAACGCTGGGACCAAGCTAGTAACTTCCACTACAGATAATAAGAACTTACAACAAGATTCAGCCTAGAAAACCACTGTACTTGCTCATCTAATTCCTACAATTTCCAAGACCCACATGCTTCACTCACACCTGGTTCCGATCTTGTGTAATTGTCTATTTTCTGTGGATCACCAAGAACACCTTGTTCTTGTACTCTTCCAGTCCAACCTCTCTCAATTTCCAGCAACCTCCAAAAGCTATTGAGAAAGTATATTACTAATTATATTTAGTAAGTAAGTGTTTTGGATTATTTGATTTTGATATTTTTCCCAACTTGTGGTCGAATGATCTCAAGATGTAGAATTATTGGTTAATATCCAAGGGATGTTATGAAGGTAGAAAATAATGATCAACCGCATAGAAAAACGTAATGGGCATTGGGTATTTATAATATAGAGGTACTAGATAATATATGATAGATAGAAATCTTAAAAATTGCGAACTAGGGTTTCACGAAAACACCACAACTCGAGCGTCAGGAGGGTGACAATAATTCTATTTTGGACTCTCGAGCATCAGCTTGGTGGCAAGCTAGCTTAATTCTTGCGACTCTTTCTCCATGTTCCATACTTGAACCCAAAGATTCCTAGTTCATCTATACTACACCCCAAATGATTCCTTGACGTATAATAATTCTTTTGTCTAAAGAATATCCAATACAACTCAATAGCTAACAATTTGGAATATTGTGATGAAGTTCAAAATAGTCATGATTTGATTAAAATTATTTTTAGGGCAAAATTAGAAGAGTTAAAGAAAATTTGTTTGGACAAGTATATATCTAGTTTTTTGCCTGTGCATTGTGTTTGTTGTGAAAAATAAATGAGGCATATATATTTTTGTTAACTAAAACTTTTTTTACTATAAAAATTCTCATCTAATTTTGTAAATAGAAGTATATAATTTTGGTTTTGTTTGTAAATTAAAATAATTTATATATTGTCGACAATGAGAGAGAAAGAGTTTTTAGAAACAATAGTAATGATGTAATGAGTAGCTAACACACGTTTTGTGAATTTTTTTATTTGTGTTTTCTCTTGAAGCTGTGAAATTTTGTTTTTGAGTTTGCTGAATGTATGAATGTTTTCATTGAAATGACAAACAATTAATAGATGAGAATTGAAATGAGGCAAACTTTACCACAGATTGTTTGTTAGTCCTCTTAGTCCTATAGTATAATTTATGAGCAAAAAAATTGAGATAAAGAAGAATGGAAGGAGCATTTAGAAGAACAGTTAAAGTCATTTCTATGGCAAGCATTCAACAACTTTTAAAAAATGCTGAATGGTTGATCAGTTAAGCAGTGGAGAGTAGTTTTACTAATCTATGGTATGTACTATGTTTATTGATTTCTAATTATGAAAAATAATAAGACACAATACAATCAGTGAAGATGAGAATGTTTAATAGAGGGTAAACGAGTGGAAGAAGCATTTGTTTTTTGAAAGTTGAAAGGAACAATGATAAAGTATTATCACCTGTTCAAAAGTTGGGAAACATATCTATTGAGGAAAGTTTTCATCCCAGATTTTGTTGAAACTATCCTTTTGGGGAAGTTTGGTGAATTTTTTATCAGTTGCCTGTGGGGAAAAAATAGGAATGAACAAATTAAAGTTACTTTGATAATTGGTTTATATATGATCTGAAAATAAAAGGTGAGCCTAACGTAAAAATGTACACACGAAATAGGGGGAGAAATATTCTGTTGATACTAATATTGGACCTTGGTGATTATAACTATTCATTATGTCTCATCTCTAGACCATTGTTCTTACAATTGAAGTTATTGATGCTACCTGAACTTGTAAAATTAATATGAACAAATTCAGCAGCAGTACTTTTACGTGTATGGTACCACTGATTGAATTCCATCTACAATTGTCAATACTTAAGTACATTATATTACCACCAGGATTACATCCAGTTCTATAACACAGTTACTATTTCTTTCATCTGTTTTTTATACGAAGAAGAGAAATACATTATAGAGTTCAAAGTTATTTAATGTTTTTGAGATTTAAAAAGTTAACATTGGCATTATATGTAATTTGTTGATGTTAAATTAGGTACATGTATAGCAGTGCGGTGTTTGGAAACTATTTTTTATGCAATTGCTCACAATAAACATTGTTGGTGTGATTTTCCTACTGAGAAAAGGTAATATATTCAGGAGAGAAATGAAATGCAAAAGATAATCGGACAATTTAAAGTTATCGAATGTTTAAATAAGGAGCAAGGAAAAATAAAAAATGGACTAAATAATGAACAATTGAACAACATTTAATAACAGCAATCAAGAAGTTCCATAGATCATTAGTAGCAACTTTACAAGAAGTTCTCTTGATGGTGTTTGCATATTCTAGAACGAACATGGATCCAAAATATCTAAAGCAGCCCATTCACTTGGAAAACAAGATTCATTGGTGATTAGTGTAGTTCTAATTACAGACTGAGAGGTAAGTTCCATTACATAGGCAGATGACGTTGCTTTTTTCGAAAGATATAAAAATGATATACTATACAACTGCCAATTGGTACAAAAGTAATGTATCGCCTTTTCAAAGTAGGAATATTGGTTTGGTTGTCAGAATTATAGGCATTGGTACTCTTTTTTTTTTTTGGCTTTGACTCTGTTTCAGTATTTTCAGCTGTTGTTTGGAAGAGAGTTCATGTAGCAGAAGGTACGGTGATCTCTTTCATGTCCGTAGAAAGTTCAGCATCTATGTATGCATCTTCTGTTTGCCTTTTGTGTCCTTATGTCTGAACACGTGTTTATTCGAGTTGAATGCTTCACATCACTGCTGATAGTTGAAGGATTTACTTCAGTCATTGCACTTCAGGAATCCACATCAGCAATTGATATTATGGGTTGAAGACAAAGATGATTTCATAATGGTACTCAGGTGGATCTTTTTTTTTTTTTTTTTTTTGGGTCATTTTTAGATAAAACAGCAACTTTGTTTAACTACTGGTTTTGGTAAGATTGTTTAGTTTGGGTTGTGTGACAGTTATAATGTACATCGTTATAGTATATTGTGTGTGTGGGAAAAAGTATTACGAATGAATGTTAGTATTTGGGATTTACCTGTTGGAAATGTTCCATTATTGTATTGGCATTAGTTTCCAATAAGGCATCGCCGCCTCAGTGGCAGTTTTGTCTTCGAGCTGAACTGTATGTTCCATTATTGTTTTGGCATTAGTTTCCAACTGTCCAGCTTTGTCTTCGAGCCGAACAAAAGCATCTGCTCTGGAGATAAAATTAGTTTGAATTAGGTACGGTGTATTGTTTAAACCAAGTATTAGTGTTAGTAGATATGTAAATATATGTTTAAAGGTTCAATATATCGGGGTTCAGCTCTTGCATGCTCGTACTTGCATAAGCGGCATTTATGAATTTGTCCTAAGTCTACCGTTGATGTTTTCTTGCAGCTAGTGCAAGACATATACCAAAATCTCTGATGCGTTGTAATAATTCTCCAATGGGCCTTGATCCAATAAATTTTTTTCTGTTGAGAAAATGTACATGTTATTAGATTATGAATATAGGCAAGAATAAATGTTGTTTCGTGGGTGGGTTCATAATGATTAATGTAGAATATAGTGAAAATGTACGTATTCTGTGTATTCAATAAAGGAATTTAGAGAAGACCTCTAAATAGACTTTCAGTAATTCAGCAATTGACGTGAATTTGTTGTCTATAGGGGGCGATAGTTTTGGTGGACTGATTGGAACAAATGGCTTCCCTTCTATGAATTGGTCAAGCTTTTCTTTGTTTGTTAGCACCCTGTAGAAAAGAGTTATACAATTACATATAGAACATTAAATATAATATTTCATTTTTTAACACAAAGGGGAAAAGTTAAAAAGTGTTTTAAGTATATTTAAATACCACTCTTTGTCGTCTATCACAACCAACAATTTAGCATTAATAACGATATTGTTGCTGGCTATAGTAGAGAGTATAATGCCTGCGGAAGAAAGTAAGTATTGAAAGCAGAAGCTTTAAGATTTAAAGCCCTTATCATAGATTTTTTTGGTAGGTTTTGAACAATGGAAATGAACTCCCTTTCAACAAAAGTGTCCCATAGAGTTAACATCATTGTCCGAAATTTTTTATCTATCAATATGATGTCTTTAAGACTCGCTTGGGTACCAAAATGAGTCTAAATAATCCATTTTTGCTGAACCTCTATAGCAATGCCAATAACACCTGGAAGAAGAATAGGAAAATTTCATATTTTGTATGTATTAAATGTTAGTACAAACAAAATAACTATGGAACATTGCATAGAAGTACTTGTTATAAAGTTTGTATGGTAGAATTTTTAGTTATGTTCATGTTTTTGTCTATATGATGTTCTAGTGTATGAAATGGAGTGAGCTCATATTTCGAAAACAAGAAGTCTAAGTTATTGTCATTGAGCTCTTTAGCCTTTGTTCTTTGGGTTATACAACCAATCTTCTCTTCAAGTGTACTTTTAAATTCACTTTTGTTACCTTTGACCGTTGCATTTGAGATTATGTATGTCTTTCCGAGTGTCAGCTGATCAGTAGGCTGTAATATTAGCATCATACATTGTAGCTGTAACTCTGTTACCATGTTCAATGTTAGAAAGAGATGAATATGTGAATAGAAAATACAGTTATAGTGAAAACCTGAAGATTCTTATAATTATTTGTATGTAGTAACCGGCAAGTCCATGAAGATAAGATTTTGATATCGAGCTATAGAGTTACGTGTAGTTCTTGGCGCCTATTTTCCTCAACAATAAGCTTCACATACCAGTTCGTCTCTGACGTATTAATTTGCGGGATAAGCTTGTAAGTTGCAGCCATTTTTTATATTAGTCACTTGCAAGAAAAATAAGTTAAAGTATAAAAAGTTGTGGTTATGAATATAAATTTATAGTTGTATTTATATTAGGGAAATGTAATGGAGTTGTTAATGTAAAAGATGAAGAAAGAGTTGTGCATTGGAGATGTAAAAAATTACTAGCAGCAAATTGAAGTTAGAGCTTCAGAAGTGTTGGTAGGTCTAAGTGATAATTATAATACGTTTGTATGGTTGCAGATTTGAAAATGAAGTATTGAGTGTAGCTATTTATAGAAGATTTACAAAGGAAGATCATTTTAATATACATCTTTTTGACTTTTCAATATACATTTGAGTGTTCATAAGATAAGGATTAAAGTACAAATGAACTTGTGCCAATTCTAAAATATCTACTATCTAAAGTATGTGAAAAATTGCGGTAAAGTTGTTTTGCTTTTTCCTGCAAATGGAAGATTTTCTACTGTTTTTTCCATGTCATAGTGCTTATTGCCAATGTATGTAGATGGTACCTGAAAAAATTCTGAGTATGTTTTTTAAAGAGTCCTTTTTCGCTGAAGACAAAAGCTGCAATTACCCGGTAATATGTGAGAATGTAATTATTGGAGCATTTGTGAAACAAATAATTGTATGTTGTAGAATTTAATTATTTTCTATCAATATGTTAGTGAGTAATAAAATTTGTAAATGAATGAGGTGATTTTAAATACAAATACCTTTCAAATGTGCTCACGTAGTTTTGCAGTTCATATGAGGTGTTCACTAATATTGGCTATTTATACAGCTTTGTGGGCCTGTAATGTGTGGAAATAACGGTAGAAAATGAACCAGCAGCAAGGAGGGAAGAAGCTGGTCAGTAAAACCAGTGGTGTAGGGGAAAAAATAGAGGTGCAAATTCTGATTTTTTTCATACACGTACAGCAGCCCTTTTTACATTACAAAAGGTGAAATTTTAACCTACTATAATACATAAAATCAACACTACATACACTTGTCTGTTTTGTAGCCCTTGGATTTGACAAAATAAAGAAATATTTTTTTGACTTTCTAAACACATTACACATCAACAGAATGATACTGATCAACCTAATTTAACCTTTCATGGGAAAACTTCAAACGCGAATTGAATAATAGCACTTGTTCTCATGACTTGAATTCTCTTCCCTGCCTTTTTCTCTTCTCTTGGTTTCTCTTCTTCATTGTTTACTCCTCGTGTTGTTTATTTTATCACTTATTGATCTCCTCTAGCCTCATACTTAGCTCCGTTGCACTACAACTTACCCTAGTTGACTTGAAAAAGTGTTCCATTTAATTAATTGGATAGAAGAATGCGAGAAAAGTTTTCAAACGTTGAAAGAAAGACCAAAATTAGCTACAGTGTAACTCTTCCCTCAAATAGTGGTGGTTTCACTATTTATAGTGAAGCTTCGAGGAACGATTTGGTTTGTCTTAATGCAACACGAAAAAGTGATTGCATTGCTTCTCGTCAGTTGAAATCATACGAAAAGAGCTAAAGAATTAACTACTACCCAGGAAAAGCAAATATAGTAGCAGATACATTGAGTCCTAAGGGAGCTACAGATGAACCCAGAGCTAAAGAATTAGATAAGGAAATTCAAGACTTTGATCTCAAGATTCTAAACCTTGGTGAAGTTGAGTTAATGGTCATATCTCCTCAACCTAGTTTCCTGGATCAAATTAGGGAGAAGATGCAAGTGATAGATTGGTTGAAAAGATCAAACATAAATTTAAGAGTGGGAAACCTACAAAATTCAAACAATTTAATGATGGAATTTTATGATTTGAGGATTGATTTTATGTCCACAAAGATGTAGAATTACGGCATACCATTATAAGTAAGGCTCATTCAACATCCTACTCGGTACATCCGGGATAAACATAAATGTATCATGATCTCAAGACCCTATACTAGTGGCCAAAAATGAAGCGATATATATTAGAGTTTGTAGAAAAATGCCTCACCTACCAACAAGTTAAGGTAGAACATCAATGTCCAGCTAAGGAATTGCAATCTTTGACTGTCCCCGAATGGAGATGAAAGAAAATAACTATGGACTTTGTGATAGAGTTGCCTCTAACGGTGAAGGATTATGATGCTATATGGTTTATAGTTGACAGATTAATCAAATCAGTACATTTTCGAACCACATATAAAATGGAACAATTTTTCAAGTTATACATTTGTGAAATTGTTCGATTTCACGATGTCCCAAAATCTGTAGTTTCGGATCGAGATCCAAGATTTCTTTCAACATTTTGGAAAACTCTTCAAAGTATGCTAGACACCAAGTTGAGCATTTCCTTCTATCCTCAGATATATGGTCAATCTGAAAGAACCATCCAAATGTTAGAAGATATGTTAAGAGCATGTGTTATGGACTCTCAAGGAAGTTGGAGTAAATACTTACCATTGGTAGAATTCTACCATAATAATAGCTACCTTGCGTCTATAGGCATGCCTTTGTATGAAGCTTTATATGGAAGACGATGTCGATTGCCTTTGTATTGAGATGATGTCGGAAAATGATAATTAATTGGTCCTAAAATCATTTAAGATATGCTTCAAGATGTAGAGGGAATTCGACAACGCATGTTTACGACTCAAAGTCTATAGAAAAGTTATGTTGATGAACGAAGACGGGCCTTTGGAATTTTCTATTGATGATCAAGTTTTTGTGAAGATTGCACCCATCAAACAAACAATGAGATTTGGAAAGAAAGGAAAACTTAGTCCCGAGTTTATAGGACCATTCAATTCTTGAAAGAGTCGAACCTATTGCTTATAAATTCGAAATTTTAGCAGGGGAAACAAAGCAACTATGGAACAAGTCAATTCCCCTCGTGAAAGTATTATGGCAAAGTGAAACAATAGAAGTAGCAGCATGGGAGTGCGAGTATGTAAAAAAAAAAAATACCCTGGACTATTTAGGGCTTGTTTGTGAATGATTTTAATCCAATTAAAATTGAAAATATAGTAGTTATTGGGTCCCACTCGTCTAATAAAAGTCAACAATAACGGCTAGTTTTTCAATTTCAATCCAATTTTAATCCTTCCCAAACAAA